TAGCTCAGAACGTATTTTGTCTTTGATCACTCCTGCATTGACCTCGAAGCCTCCCCACCCCGTGTACTTTGAAAGTGTGTCTCTTTGTCCTTTCTTTAGCCCTCACTGCACCCCTCTCCAGGCAGATCAGAGGACTGAGTGGCCTCCAGTACCCCATTTTCTGAACCAGTGACCCATAAAGGATCATGAAGATTGATTACACACACATGAACTGGTGATGAGGTCATTTCCAATCACCTGTCCCTGTGCCTTAAATCACCTGGCTTCTTTATCCCAAAAATATCTGCAAACCCCATCCTCTGGGAGGTGAAGTTGAGTCTTGGTCTCCTGTCTCCCTGTGTGATTGAATAGACTTTCTCTTTTGCAAGACTCATTTGGTGCAGTGGACAAAACAGGCCTCTTTCGGAAAGACTCAAGAGTATTCGCATGTAAACTACTCACATCCTCCCTATACTTTAAATCATCTTTGAAGACCTTATAAGACTTTATTCAAGGTAAATGCTACATAAATAGTTGTTATATTGTATTTACTAGGGACTTACAACGAGGAAAGTCAGTACATGTTCAAAACAAACACAGATTTTAAGAAAATACTTTGAGCCCCACAAGGATGATTGGTTGGTTGGTTTGGTTGGTTAACCAGGGATTGAACTCAGGTCCTTGCGCTTATGAGGCAGGCAGCAGCACCACTGAACTAAATCACAGGCCCAGTGATTGGTGGGTTTATTGGTTGGTTGGAGCCATAGATGTGGAGCCTGTGAACACAGAGTTGTGTGTGTTTACAGTGAGTGTAGGAGAGCCCCTTGAAGGTTTGGAGGCACATTGAAATGATTCCTTTAACTAGATGGCCAGAGATACCAAAGCTACAGCTGTATTCCAAATAAACACATCCATTTGCTTGCTACAGCAAGAGAGAGAGAGCACCCAGAAGGAAAACAGGGCCAGGGAGGTGGGGACTTCAGGATTTGAGCTTGGGCTGGGTGCTTTTAAGGGTGAGGACCAGCTCTCAGGGCACAGGGAGAGCAGTTCAGCAAGAGAATATTGCAGTGTATAAAACAGATGAGCCTATTCTCTGCTTTTTCCCTTTCTTTTCTGGTCCTGTCCTGTCCTTTCCTGTCCTGTGTGTTTCCAGTGACCAAAGCCCAGGGCCCTCGACATGGTAGGCAAGCACTGTACAGCCCCTGGCTTCTTAACATGTTTCCTTGAAAAAAAAAATGTTTTGTTTATAAATACAGTATATCCTCTTCCCCTTGTGTGTGGAATTATACATAATTTTGTATGTATTTTTTTCTTGTGGTAAAATACATAGAATAGAAATTTTACAAGCTTAACCATTTTTGAGTGAACAGTGCAATGACGTTAGGAACATTTGTATAGCTGTGTTACCTTCACCACCAGTCCCAGAAATTTTCACCACCCGAAATAGAAACTGTACACCCATTAAGCAAGTAACACTGGCTACTAATCACACACCGATGTTCTGGCCCTATGAATGCACCTATCCCAGATGTCTCCTCTAAGTGAGACTCTCCCATATTGCCATTTTGGATCTGGCTTCCGACACTTAACATGAAGTCCTCAAAATTTACTCCTATCATAGAACCTGCCAGTACATTCCTTTCAGCAGTCAAATGACTTTACATATCTGTCTATGCTACATTTTGCCAGTGTTTTCAAAGGTTAAATAAGTTTCTGGCCAGCATTTGGATGCCGGAATGTTATTCTAAAGGGTCCAGGATCCCTTTGAAATGTAAATGTCAAGCAAGACAGAGTCCCTATTTCCCTGTCACTGTGAGGGTTTTTAGCCTTGCTCCTTGTCCCAACTACCTATGTCACAAAGATTTTAGAAGTTTCATTATCCCTTGAGGCACAGGGAATTGGCCAGCACAGTGGATACCCCATCCAGGCAAGGTGAGGATGAACTAAGAAAGAACTAATGGCAAAAGAGAAGGGTCAAACCTCTTACCTAAGGATGTTACCACGAATCTTAAAAGCATGATTATAATGTAGTTCTTGGCTGCATATGAAACAGTAGGGTTTCTGTGCACCTTTGTGATCCTATCAGCACATTACATGTGGTGTGTGTTGTAGTGTAGCTTAATGTTTATTCAGTAACAAAGCTGCCCCTTCTAGGTGGCACACACCTGTAATTCCCAGCATTCTGGGAGGCTGAGGCAGGAGGATTACAAATTCAAACCCAGCCTAGGCAATTTAGTAAGGCTCTATCTATCCCAAAATAAAGGATTATTTAAAAAAAAAAAAAAAAAGGTTGTAGACATGGCCCAATGTGAAGGCCCTGGGTTCAATCCCCAATATCAGGAAAACAAAAACAAAAAAATCCCCACTTCTTATCTGCAGCAACAGAGGGCATTTCTCAGGGAGGTGGAGGCTTTCTTTTTTCCCCATCTTTGATCAGGACCCACGAAGAATGGGGGGTGGATCCTGCCCAAGGTCAGTGATAAGAGAGCCACAGAGGCTCTAAGAAGAGCTCCCTGTTCAGCTCACCAGCTTCAAGGTCATCTTCCAGACTGGCTGGAAACTGTTTATCCCAGCCCAAGCACCATCAAGGCTGACAGTCTTTCTTTGTGGGGGGAAGGGGAAGTTGAGACAGGGTGCCACTGGGCAGCTCAGGCTGGCCTCAAACTCACAGCGATCCTCCTGCCTCAGCCTCCCAAATGCTGGGATTATAGGCATGCGCCACCTTGCCTGGCCAGGCTGAGAGTCTCTTCTAGGGGCATCCTGATTTTGGGGTGGCGGGGAGCTTCGCTGCCACAGCTCTTGATTTGTCAGGGAAGAACATGTCAAGGCACAAGATGAGAGGCCTGAGCAGGTTCAAGAGGCAGGAAGGGAGTGCAGGCACTCCAGAGAAAGGTACATTATGGACTGGAGTTGGAGGTTTTTATAGTCTTGGGGTGTCCTCAAGATGATGATCCAGGGTGTGGATTCCTACTATCTGATTACCCCATAGTGGACTAGGTTAGCATGGGAACCATTTGAAGTTTAGAGATACAGTATCGATTTAATCACTATTCCCTTGGAGGTGGAAGTCTGCAGAATTTGTGAATCTATAGTATCAGAGGAAAAGCAGAGGCTCAACTGACTTGTGAAAAGCACCGGCCTAGTCCAGCAGGTGAGGTGAACACAAGCCTGTCATCTCAGCAGTCTGGGAGGCTGAGGCAGGTAGATCTCAAGTTCAAGCCCAGGGCACACAGCACAAGGCTTGCCACTGAACTGTATCGATACAGTACTGTTTTGATACACTGAAAAGACCCAGCTGTTTCCTGCTCCCAGGGTTCAAATCCGGGTTGCCGTCCTCCGGACTCTGAACCAGTCTCATCTTTGGGAACTTTGTTTTCCTTTTCTGTATAACAGGGTACTACTGTGGGGAAACAGGAAGGGCTGTTGAGCTGAAGACATTGACAAAATGGATACAGGACTGCTCTCCACCCTTCTCCATCTGCCCGAAGCAGGACATAGATCTGGGACTCTGGGACTCTGGGACTCCCCCCACCATCACAGACCGCCAGAGCAGAAGGTTCTTGAGGACCAAATTGAGTGCTTGGCACCGCACCTGCTCGGGATTATTGTTTGTTACTTTTACAGCATGTGGCTAAGAGCACAGTCAAGCAGAAGTCAAGTGGGTCTGGATTAGAATCTAGTTTTCTACCCATCCAAGCCTCGCTTTGCCCATCTGTTATTTGGGGAGGATTCCAGTTCCTAAGGTTTTGGGAAGCTCTGATGAGCTACCGCATAGGGAGCGCTCCACATACATGAGACTATGTACAACTTTCGTCCATTAAAAAACTTAATTATTTTTAAATGGATGCACCCATAAGCCTGTACTGAAATCCTAGCGCTCTGGTAGGCTGAGACAGGAGGAATGCAAGATCAAACCTAGCTTGGGCAAGGAGCAACATAGCAAGATGCTGTCTCAAAAAATATTAAAATGGGACTGGTGTGAGGGCCGCGGGTTTACACACACACACACACACACACACACACACTTTCCAA